GAAACCGCACCGCCGCGATGCCAAGGTACACGAAGGGCCAGACGGTGATCAAGCAGGGTGATCCGGGGCAGACCTTCCACGGCATCGCGAACGGCGAGGCGCCGCGATTGGGGGCCCGAGTGCGCGGAGGCGGAGGGGAAGGGGGCGGGAGGGGTCTGAGGATGGGAGGGACGGGTTGTCAATTGGAATGTCAAGCGCAGCCGGGGTCGGCGGGCCAACGCAGCTGGGCCAGCGCATTTGCGGTCAGCGGGCCCATGCCCTCTAGGGAATCGCTTGTCGATGGGGAGAGGAAAAGATTGGCCTGGAGGGGGATGGGGGAGGAGATGGAGTAGGGGGAGGAGGAGGGGGGGGAGGGGGAGAGGGACGGAGGACGGGTAGGTGAGGGCGTGGAGGTCAAGAGGTGCCCCCCTCCCACACACGAAGTGTTGTAATTACAGATATACCTCGGAGGACCTCTGTCCAAACCCAGACATCGGATGTTTTGAGTTTCTCAATGCGCGGTCCCCGAAGTAACGAACTTTTCCCCAGGTTTAGTTTTCCATCCTGAGTCGTTGTTGTCACAGTCCCAGGGCCCGGCGGGGGTCATTTGCGACCAAAAGCAACGAAATGTTTACGCATTGAGTTTCTCGAGACGTTGGAAGTCAGGGAGTGGCATGGTCGCAGAGTTCTCACGGACACCTCGTCGCGCCATGTCGGGGGGCAGCCGTGGCGCTAGGCCAAGGTCTTCATCGACGGAGTGCTGGTCCGCACGATGGGTGCCGCCCCGCTTGCTCTCGAGTTGTCGTCTGTCGCGGCCGTTTCCCCGCCCGGCTCGAGCTATTCAGGAGAAGGATTAAGTCGGGCCTGTCCCTCTGCAGGGGGAATATTCAAAAACAGTCAAAACATAGTCTGGGGACTATTTTTTGAGTATCTTTGGGCATTTTTGAGCAGTTGTTGAGTATGATTTTGTCGTCCAAAATCCCCCTGTAGGGGGACACGCCCGACTTAAGAGAAGGAGTCGAAACGCAAACAGCGGCATACAGCATAAATGTGTTGGAGTGCCGCGCAGGTCTCTTGGATCGACGCTGTGCCCCCCTGGCGGGCCCCCTGGCGCCGCTCTTGGCGCGCTCCGCGCGCCAGGGACGGGGGTGCAGCGCCGATGCAGGAAAATTGTGCGATCCTCCGAATTGTTATGCTTTTATGCACTTGATCGTTCTCCTACCCAAGTTCCGGAGCAGGAGAAGAAGGATAATGAGAAGGACGACGGCGGTGAACGGATGACATTGAGTTGCCGTGGGGTTGATTGCCTTGGCTGGGCTTTGGTCTTCCAGCTCAAGTTGTTCTGCTTGCCAGTGTTGGTGCGAGCAAGCGTCCCGTTGTACGTAGTAGCTGCGTTTGCCCTCGAATCCGATGAGCTCTGCAGCCTCCCCCTCCTCTTTTCAGACCTCTTTCGCCGTGATTCGTTGTTTGTTTACTTGCCTGTCTACAACTAGTGGGCTTCGTTCCATCTCTCCGTCGTGCCTGAGTCGTGGACAAGAGACAAGAGCCCTCTTAGAATGCTCTCGGAAGGCGTCTTGGGGTATCTTGAAAGCCTATTGGAGGTATAACGGGGGCCTTCTGGGGCGACGGGGTGAGATCCCAACGGGACGGATGAGATTTCAACAGACTGGGTTAGGTCCCAACGGGTATGAAAACCGGAACGGGAGAGATCCCAACGGGCGGAACAAGTTCTGATCAAACTTGTCATTGCATGATCACCTTGGCAGGGGAAACCGAAAATTGTATCCTTTAAATGAGTTCACAGTGTTTTCATCGTGCGCCGTTGGGATCTCTACCTTCCAATTGCCCTGTACTATTGGAGGTCTGAGTGCTCCAAGACGGCCACGTATGGACTCAAGACGCTCCAAGACGGCCTCTAGATTTCTGGAGATGCCTCTAAGACGGGACCGAAAGGTCTGCTGGGATGACCCTACCACTCAAACAGTATTAATGTCATTATTGTTGTTTGCACAATTCCGCGTTTCCGGCGCTTCGGGCTTCGAACGGTCCCTGAGGCCTCATGATGGCGCCTACGTAGACGGCGCAAGAGGCCCGCCAATCGGGCCCCCAAACAGACCAAGAGGGGCCCAAGACGGTCCAAGAACCGACCAACACGACCCGAAGTCCGCCCAATAGAGACTTCCAAGACGGCCCCACATCGCCCCAAGAAGGCCACAAGACAGGCCAAGGGCGGCCCGACAGCCGCGGAGACCCCCCAAGGCCCGCAGAGACCCGACGCGAGACCCTGCGGAGGTCCCCGAGAGGCCCCCCATTTGCTCCCAGGAGGCTCCAAGAGGCCCCGGGAGGCCACTTTTATCCTCCCTGACCTTGTCCCCTCCCTCTTCCTCCCCGGGTGCTCCGCCCGGGGGTTGTAGCAACGGCCGGGGAACACATTGCCCAACAGTTTGGCAAGACTTCGGCCCAACGTTTGGCCACAGTCGTTTTCCGCAGGCAGGGGGTGGCGGTGGTTCGTCGTAGGCGCAGTTGATATGAATCATCATCACTATGGCCACAACAACACCATGACAATCATCAGCCTGACCATCAACATCATCCTTAGCATCCTCGCCATCCTCAGTAGTATCCTCCTTCTTCCTCCGTCTCCTCCTCTTCCTCCTCCTCCTCCTCTTTCAGTTTGCCCTCGGCGTCGTCATCTGCACAATTCCGCATGATCATCAGCAGGACCAGCATCACTAGCATCGCCACCACCGCGCCTTGACCATTGTACTTACCATCCTCACCATCATCACGCTTACCAGCGTGATCCTCCTACTCGCACTACGTTTCCTGAAATTGGAACCTTGTCGAAAGCTCACGGCGTCAGAGTTCATATGATGTTGACAGTCTATTAGGATTCCGAATACGCCGCAGTTCATTACAATCGAAGTTCCTTTGGCATCTACTGGAATGTCGAAGGAAGTGCATCGGACCATGTTCATTGCAGTTCAAAAGTTGAGCTCAACGAAAATTAGGCGATGCATTTGGAATCCCAACAGCCCTCTGGGCGTCGGTGGTTTAAGGCGTTTCCTCTTCCTCCCCTCCCTCTTCCCCCTCGGGGAGGAGGGGTTTATCATTGTTCCGTATTAATAAACACCCCCTCCCCCAGGCGACTGGGGGCCAACCAGGGTCCATGCCGACCCCCCCCACCACCCCTTGTACAAAAACAATACACAACACACTCTGCCTCCAAATTCGGAACACGCGCAGCCAACCCGATGCGGCCCACCCCCAACATCCCTGTCAATAAACAATACAGAGTACGCTTGGCGGCGGCGGCGGCTGCGGCGGCGGTGGCGGCGGCTGCGGCGGCTGCGGCGGCGGCGGCGGCGGCGGCGGTGGCGGCAGCGGCAGCGGCTGCGGCGGCGGCGGCGGTTTGGCAGCGGGGGGCGGCGGCGGCGGCGGCGGCGGCGGCGGCGGCGGCGGCGGCGGCGGCGGCGGCTGAGGCGGCGGCGGCGGCGGCGGCGGCGGCTGCGGCGGCGGCGGTAGCGGTGGCGGCAGCGGCTGCGGCGGTGGCGGCGGTTTGGCAGCGGGGGGCGGCGGTGGCGGCGGCGGCGGCGGCGGCGGCGGATTGGCCCCCAGTAATTAGCTGCCCATCCCAGGACGGCTGCTGAATATGCTGAGGCTCGGGCCAAACTCGGGTGCTACGTATGTGTTGGGAGGGACGGCTTGCGGGCGGGGAGGGGGTAACTTGACCCCTCCCCCTACCCCCTCCCCTGGACCTGGACGGGGGGGGGCCGCGGGTAGGTAGAACGTCCAAGATGGCCCAAGATGGCTCCATGAGGGCCTTAGAGCAGCCCAAGATAGCGTCGAAGATGGCTCACGATAGCGCGAGATGCCTCGATATAGCTCCGAAGATGCTCTAAAACGCCCCAAGGCCGCTCCCCAATGACGCCCCGACCAGGCCGAAATGCTTCAAAACCAATTGGGAAATCAATGTTTTTGGTGTTATCGCTTTTGCGCTTCCGATGCCCATCCAAGGCCTCAGCATCGCTCCCAGATGGCCCAACAGGGGTCCAATAAGGGACCAAGAGAGCCCCAAGACGGTCCCCAGAGCGCCCAAGAGCGCTCCAAGAACGCTCCAAGATGGGTCCAGGAGGCGATTTTGGGTGCTCCTGAGGGGGGGGGGCGTAATTGAGGAACCCCCTTTCGTTGACCGACATCCTCCACGATGGCCCCAAAGAGCGCCCCAAGGAGAAAGAAGGAAGAGACGGAGGGAATAACAATCCCGATAATGTGGAGGTGGAGCCAAAGAAGAACGATACTGACCCGGAGGATGAAGACGAAGACGACAAGGAGAAAGAGGAGGAACCAGTTGACAAGAGAGAAGCAGGAGAAGAGAGGAAGACGCGGACACACAATTCGCCTTTTAAGGCCATCCTGCAGGCCATCCTACAGGGCATCGTGTTCGCCTCAGCCACTCTCCCCAAACACCTGTCTCCCTCTTCCCCCCACGGTGACCGACGAATACCAATCATCGATGCTCATTCACAGAACGGCTGCTTTAGGATGTCGTCAACAATTTGGCACGCTGCAGTGGGCATTCAAGTGACATCGAAGCTGACTTCAAAACAGAATCTCAGCGTCCAGAGCCTGGTCCATTCTAATTGAAGCGCCATTGGGTCGCCAGTTCCCTCTGCTTTAGCTCAGTTTGAACTTTCATGTGCATTTCAAGGGCTCGTTCGTGAACTTGTACCAGGTTCGCTTCAGCTGACATTCGAGAAGATTACGCGTACCCTTTATAAGAGAGCTGATCTGGGGGTCAGAACCACTGCAAGCAATATTAGATGAGAGACGATCCAACTTTCGTTGAATTCAACAAGCGAGAGCACGCGGATCTGTAAGCTGATCCGTTTCCATCGAAATACAACTGAATTCCAGGGCCAGTTCGAATTAACAGTTTAAATCTGTGAGAAGGGCTTCGGCGAATTGTGGACGCACCAGTTCGGAGAAGCAGGCGGCAACTGGAATATTTTCTCGTGAGTATGGGCAATTCACGCTGTGTTGCCGACGCGGAGGCCACTGAAGATATTGGCGTCGGCGTTGACCACCGCACTATCCGACTGACTTTGTCCCTTCTTCGGTTCAGGCGCAAGGCGGGGGGCAACCGGAGCAGACGCGGTTTTCGAGGTTGGGCGCCGATCGACGGTGCGCGATGCCGGGACGAGCTGCATGGACGCCTCCGCGCTTTCTGCAACAACAGCTGCCCTGATCAGGCACCAGAATTGGACAGCAGACGCGCGGCGATCGAGAATGCTTTGAAACAGATCGCTGAACAACGCCGGCAAGCTGAAGCAGACATCGGTACCAACACAGAGGCTTCGCAACACCACCTCCACAGTCTCATCGACCAGCGCAGAGCTGCTCGCAAGGCGGACGCGAAGGACACTGTCAGGGGCGCCAGCAGTAATATGCATAAAAAGATACGAGCAGCTGCAATTGCACAGAAGAGCGAGAAGACGAGCAATACCTTGGCTGAGTCCAAGGACCAGCAGTGCCTCGTGGACATCAGGAACAGCGGCAAGAGCGACTGCATCACCTCCGCGATCGACGAAAACGGGACCGAGAGAACTGACATCAACGACATCGCAGAGGTATTTGCGAGTTTCTTCGGGTCTCTCTACGACGGCGCGCCAGGAACTTATTGTTGCGAGGCCAGTGCCAGCCAAGTGACTGACGTCACGCCCGACGAAGTCCTGTCGCAGCTGAGACGCACACGGCTGGGCAATGCGCCCGACGAGGGAGGCGTGGGGGCAGTTTCCGCTGAAATCTTCCTGCGGATATTTTCCCAGCCGTCTTGAAGCCAGGGGCAGAGACTCTTGGGTGCTGGAAGGCGTCTTCAATGCGAGTTTCGTTTAACAGGGGCGACTCGAGGTTCGCAGAGAACTATCGACGTATCTGCATCATAGTGTATGTATTATTCAGTCGTGCGCTGTGCGGGCGCATCTCTGGGATACCCACTGCAGAACAGCTTTGCGAGGGTTCCGGTGCTTTTTAGCAGGCCTTCGACTTTATCGGCCGCAGCAGTATCTGGGCATTTGTGATGTCTCTCGGCGTTCTGCCAGCGCGCGTGCGTGGGCGTCCACTCCAGACTCTATCTGCCAGGGGCAAGGCGCCCGAGTCCAGAACGCCGGCGCCAGCCGCGAGCTCGGCCTCAGCAGGGGGGCCAACAAGGATATCCAGAGTGTATATATGTGTGTATAGTTACACATACATATTGTGATGCATGGCCTTCACCTTGGGTATAGTCCAGATTCGCTTGCTACAAGTTTGCGGTTTTCTGATGACATCTAGATCATCGGCCGCGCGCTGCCTCAAGCGAAGCAGATGGTGGCAGGCATTGTCGAGGGGGGCGCGAGAGTTAGACTCGATCTGCACCCTGCTAGACGAACGTCCTGCATAATAACCTTGGATATGGCAGCCGCGTCAAGAAAGCGACGGTAGCAGTCGCGGGAATCGAAGTGCTGGACCCGAGAGAACACGCCCTGTACCTCGGGAGGGCCCTATCGTTGACCGAGGCGCATGGTTCCTAGCTCCCCCTCCAAAGCCGGAAGGCGCGGTCGAAGTTTGGCGCGTGCCGCGGCGGGCCCATCGACGAGGCCGCGCCTTTGTCTTTGCGGCTGAAGCTGTTCCACGCTGTGCTAACCCCATGATTTTAAATGGTCGTGTATCTTGGGCGATGGCGAGAGTCACGGTTGGCACTGCTACGACCCATTCAATTGAACATGGTTCGTATGAGAATGGGGCGGAGCCGTGTCGGACAAGAACCGGCTGGAGAATTTGAGACGCGGGTAGAATGGTTGCTGCGGGTGACCCTGGAGGCGAAGCGCGCCGCGCATGAGTGCGGAGTGCCGCCCTGGGGCGCCGATCTGAAGACCCGGCGGCGCCAGCGGGGCATGCGCGAGGAGTCGATGAGCAACGGCCGCTAGGCAAAAAAAGGCGCCCTGCTGGCAGCCGAGTGGGTTCCAGAGCAGGGGCCGTTCCGCAGCGCGCTGGGCTGACCAGCTCGTATTTCTGAGCGCTGAGCCCCAGGGGCAATGTGCCAGCGGGCGCCGCGCAGCACGTACTCAGCGACCCTTGACCCTTGACCAGATCGGCATGATGATCGACCATTGTGGATTCCGGAAACAGAGTCTTGACGAATCCGATTGGAATCTTGACGAAGAGCACCATTGTCCTTAGGAAACTTCTCAAGGGCGACCAGGAGGCACCCAGGAGGCTCCTGCAAGGCGCTCAGGAGGCGTTGTAAAGCGTTTTGGGCACGACTCGGAAGCGCTTAGTAAGCGCCTACGTGGAGATTGGAGCCGCGCTTGCGAGGCCCCACGCCCACGCGGCGCTTAGGGCGCCTATTGAGCCCAAGGGGCGCCGAGGAGGCGCCTGGGGGCCGCCAGGGAGGTGCCTGCGAGGCGGGAAGCGCCGAGGAGGCCCTTGATGGGGCGCCCAGGAGGCGCAAAGGAAAACGCTGAGAAGTCGCCCAGGTGGCGCGTGCGAAGCGCCGCGCCTGGGATGCGCAACGCCTGTGAAGCGCTTCGGAAGCGCCTAGGAGGCGCCTGGCGCCCGGGAGGCGCCCAGGACGCGCCTGCGATGCGCCCAATAGGCGACCATCTTGCGCATGGAATCTAAAGTGGGCCTCGTTGGGATCTCTTCCATACCAGTTCTCTTACCCGCTTGGATCTCACCCAGTCGGGTGGGATTTCATCCGCCCCGTTGAGATCTCCCCCTTGATCGCCGTCTTTGTGCCGTCTTGGCGGCCTCTTGGCCTCTTTCGGAGACCTCGCGGGTTGTCATGGGGCGATGTGGGGTACGTGTTGGGTTGTTTTGGCAGCTCGTAAGACCGAGCAGGCGGGGGTGCGGATAGAACACAGCATGTGTTGGCGTCGCGGCCGCTGCGCGCAGCGACAGGTCGCAGAAGGTCGGAAAGCAGCGACCACGCGTGCGCGTGCCACCCCGCCTGTGCATTCAGAAATCACATAGGGCCCCGGAGCCGCAGGCTGCCATAAGCCATCCTGGCATGGGTGGCAACGCGCACAACACACAAACACACAAGCACACACGCACGCAGCGCCTTTCAGTGGTTGGAGCTTCCTGGCCGGCCCCCAGGGCCCCCAGGATTGCCGAAGAGACCCCCAGCTCTCCTCCGGGACGGGATCTGGGAACATCTCAGGCCATGCTCGAAGTGGGAGCTCCAAGCCACGGCCCCGAGACCACACGGGTGGAGGACAACACAAACACAAGCAAGCCTGGGATTGCCGGAAGACGGGGGCCTGGGCCCCTCAAAACGCATGCACAGTATTATGCCGAAAGAGCACACACACACCCACACCCATTGAGAGGTCGGAGGTATGAGGGCTGGGCTACGGAGGAAAGTCCACTCAGTGTCTACGGCGCGTTGGCCAACAGATCCCGGCCCCCGCAGGCCCCCGCAGACTCCAGCCCCTTCCCCAGGACTGGTTGGTCCTCGCGGGACGCTTGGACGGATTGGGAGCCCTGGCGATTGGCGCTGGAAGTCGAAACCATGATTGCAGACACCGCAGTCAAACAAACCACGGCGTCGGAGGTTCGAGCCCTACGAGTCGCCCCTCTGGATCCTTCCGGAGGTGCGTTCCGGACACACTCCCATGTGAGTCTGGCCGTGCGGACGAGGGCGCTAAGATCAGCAAATGCACAAACGCATGGAGTCTCACGCGTCTTCTCATGTCTCACCCCTTCGCTTCCGTTTCCCTCCGCTTTCCTGCATCTCCTTTTCGCTCTCCACTCCCCCGTATTTTTCTCGAACCCTCCCTCCACGTCATTCCACTTCCCTCCACTTCCATCGATCGGTATAATACGACAGCCGTTGCCTTGGGATAGCGGGTTCGAGGCCAAGCGTGCCCCCCCTCCGTTGCTTGAGTTGTTGGGAAATTTTGTTCCCTGCACAGGCACCCCCTCACTCTAGCTCGCTTAGGGGCGCCACAAGCAGGCCTCGGGCGAGAAGCCAAGGCCCTGCATCCATAGCCACACGACGCAGGGACATTCTTTCTAAGTTTGTTTAGTCTATCGACTGAGAGTCCGCCCCCTGGGTGCCTACTTTTTTTCCTTCCCCTCACATCCCTCTCATCCACTCTCTGCAACGGACTCCATCCGAAGAGATCATGGGTCACGATCGATCTGTCAGTTTTTCGCCCCATCTGATCAGAGTCATTGGCCACCGACGTCAACAACAACCCCGCCCCTATACTTCTTCCACTGCCCCTCCACTTCCCTCCTTTTCTCCTCTTTCCCCTCCCCTCTCGCTCTCCCTTTCGCCGATAGGGTAGCTTATGACCGCCCCTCTGCGATTGCGAGGCGCCTCGAGGCAGAATCAGTGATTAGCAGTAGCTCGGTGTCCGAGGCCCTTTCTGCCATGAGGCCAATCATCTCATCGTCTGTGTTTCAGGCACTGTTTGATCTTATCTCTCCCCCGAGTCGTTTCCCTCCACTTGCCTCCTTAAGGTGGCCCCTCGCGGATGGCGCACCGCGGGGCGCGGTGCCCGAAGCGAGCTGACCTGGTTCTCCCTCCTCTCACGTCTCCCCACTTCATTCTCACGTCTCCCCCCCTTCCCTCCACTTCCATCTCACGTCCCTCCACTTCTGGGTCACTCTATCGTTTCCCCGCTTCCCTCCACTTCCCTCCACGGTCCCCCACTTCCCTCCACGGTTTCCGTTCAGTGTTCCCATTGGGAATTTTGGGCGTGGCTCTTCGAACAAATGCCGCTGGCCGTTGGCGCCGGCAGAACTCCGACGAAAGTCTTGCTGCAGAGCCCAGGAGGTCCCATTCGGCAACGCAGGAAGCTCCAGAATCGACGGGAGTCCCCCAGAGGCCGCCTCAGAAACTTCCTGAGGCTTGGGGGCCCCATGGGCCGAAGGTGACCCCACGATGACTTCTAGATGGCCTGCGAGGGTCCAATGAAGCCTCCAAGATGGTTCCAACCTGTTCCTGGGAGAGTTGAACATGAGTGGTAAAGATATGTTTTGGTACGTGTTGCGCCCTCGGACTTTTTTCCGACCGCCACGCCTTCGGTGAAATTTTGGAGGGCCTTTGAGGCCCAGAGAAAGTCGAAGCAAGGCGAGAAGCCTTGCGAGGACCTCACGAGGGCTTCAATACGTAACGAAAGGGCTCCAGGACACCCTCCTGTGGCCCTGAAGAGGGCCTCCATGAGACCCCGACGGCCCTAGACGGCCCAGGAGGCTCCCCCACACGTATACCCCCAGACCCAGAAGGCCCCGAACACCCTGCGAGAGGGGCTCCCAAGAGGCCCCCTCGTGGTCGCCAACACAAGCGCCAGCAGGCTGGCGGCCTCCCAGCTCCGAGCAGGTGGGGTCGGAGGATCGCGCCGCGTCGCCGATGCGGCTCGATGTGGAGCCCGATGTTCTACACGCCGACGTCGCCAGCGCGTCGCCGACACATCAGCGATGCATCGCCCATGCATCGGCCATGTGGTGCGATCCTCCGACTACACCTGCGGTCAGGAACTTTGGCTTAGCGTGTCGCTCCGCCGGTTCTGGCCCCCCACGCTGCCGCGCGGCAGGTTACCCGTGTCCCAGTCCCAAGGCGTCAACGTATCCCGAGCCTTTCCCGACCTCCCGCTCCGCGGAGACACGCTGAGCAAACGTTCCCACCCGTACTCGGACCTCGTCTCCCCTTCCTCCTCCTCCTCCTCCTCCTCCTCCTCCTCCTCCTCCTCCTCCTCCTCACCCTCCTCCTCCTCCTCCTCCTCCTCCTCCTCCTCCTCCTCCTCCTCCTCCTCCTCCCTCCTCCTCCTCCTCCTCCTCCTCCTCCTCCTCCTCCTCCTCCACCTCCTCCTCCTCCTCCTCCTCCTCCTCCTCCTCCTCCTCCCTCTCCTCCTCCCCCTGCTGTGCGGCCTCTGCCAGCCCAGTTCCCCGCCGCCCCCCCCGGCCCTCCCCGCAGGCGCCGGCGCCTACTTCGGGGAGCGCGCCATGCTCACCGACGAAGGGCGCACCGCCACCGTGGAGGCGCCGGCCGCCAGAGATCACGGCCGCCCCTCCCCTCAAACCCTGCAGCAAGAACGTGTCGGAGCTCATGCTCCTCCTCCTCCTCCTCCTCCTCCTCCTCCTCCTCCTCCTCCTCCTCCCTATTCCTCATCCTCCCTCCCTCCCTCCATCTCCTTCTCCTCCTCCTCCCTTCCTCCCTCCCTCCCTCGTCCTCCCTCAGTCCCTCCCCATCCGTCGCTCCCTCCCTCTTTCTCGGTTTGTCGGTCGACCGGTCACTCTTCAGGTTTGTCAGAGCGATTCGCGATCAGCTTGCCCGGCATAGCTTGTCGCATGGGGCCGCCGCTGCGACAAGCTAAGCAAAGGTTCCTGACAAGATGTGGGGCGTTCCTGGGTGGAGTTGGCGCCCTCTGAGGCGACCCTGAAGCCATGCAGGACGTTTCATGGAGTGTCTCGACGTGGGCGGGAGACAAGCGGAAGTTCGACGGCGGCGGCTCCGCCGGATTCCGCTGGTGGAAGCCTGCGAAAGGCCTGCGGAGGGTGGCGGAAGCAAAAGCAAAAAGGTGAGCTCTCGGAGGGGCATGTCAGTGGAGAAGAGATAAAATGTGCACCGGACGATCATTTAACCTCAACGGCAACGACCATCCGCACATCGGAACCCGCCTACAGCCACGCACCCAGGGACTGTAAGACCGTTCGGCCCCCGCGTTGTGATGTTTGGTCCGGTCCGCGGGCGGACGCCAGCGGAGGCAATTTGAAGATGCCCCCCCAAGGGTTGACAACATTTCAGGGTTCGGGGTTTCCGGAGCTGGCCAAGTGCTGTCGAGGAGTTGTTTTGGCACGTTTGTCTTGGCGGGGCTTTTTCCACAAGTGCATTGGACCCTCTCGCGGGGCCTTTTTCTGGGGCCATCTTGGGTGTGGCTTGAAGCCCAAAGATGTTTCTGGGAACCTCAGGATGTACCTGGGACGGGAGGGGTTGGGACCCTCTCCCTTCGAATGTGCAATTTGGGGGTGATGACAGGGGACACGCTTTGACGCCCCAAGGGGGTCGGCGATTGTTTAGCGGGAGGTTACAAATTGCTATTTACCATTCATGCGACCACGTACGGCTAATGGTCCTACGAACTACCTGTGAACATTGCCACCATTTCTCATAATCAGAGCTGCTATTGCTCCCACTGCTGTTTCTGCAGTTTCTACCTGTGATGCACTTGATATTCTCTTTATTAGTACCAGAACTACTACTTATTGCCACTCCTGAGACCACGACTACTGCAAATGGTGCTTCCACAGATGCTCATACCAGTACTTTTTGATGCAACTCCTGGGAGGTCAAATTCAACATCGGCGCTGGTCGAACTGCGGCCTAATCTCGTTGAGTCCCGCTTTATCCAGCTGAGTCCAGCGTACCACCCTGGCGTCTCCCGAGGCGTCGTCGTTCCTCGACGCAGGAAAGGTACGGTGCATGGGTTCCCTTCCCTCAGAGCCAGATTCATTATGCACCGTACCGCGCTTGAGCAGGGTCAGGAGCGAGTTCAGACATGGTACGGTGCTTGGGCGCCGTTCTCGTACTTCCAGGGGCAGGCTTCCATCCCTTGGCGATAACGGGCGTAACGGGGAGAGGGTGAGGGAGAGGGGGACGGGGGCCAGTTACGTCACGATTTGTGCCAGCGCCGTCTGGGAATGCCTACAGGAATGGCTGGTCCCCAGACGGCGCCGGCGCGAATCGGTGACGGATGGGAGGGGGTGGGGTGCGGGGCTGTTCACGGGCGTTATCGCGAATCATTCTCTTGTTAAAAAGCGGGCTCTAAGAGGTGCCGACGTGACCGCAGCGTCTCGCCACTGCCGGTTCGCTCGGGCGACATGGCGACCCACCGCGCGGGCCCTGCCGCCGCCCTGCCGCCCGCCATGGCGCAGCGCGCCCCGGCTGCCGGGCTGCCGCTGGCGCTGGACGCCCGCGCAGCGGAGCCGCTCACACCTCCCCAGAGCTTCGAAGACGTGGCTTGTAGTCATTCCGCGGCCCCAGATCCGAGGCGGGGATCGTGCGTAAAGTACGGGGTAGGTGCAGAACCTGGTATTCCCTGAGCGCTGCAGCCCGTGACGGGGGGCGGGCTGCGAGTGTTGTGTCGCGGGCTCCGTGGCCACTGGCCCGAGCTGGCCCATCCGAGGAAAAACAAAGAAGCGTAAATTGTCGGAGGCCCGCGCGGATTCCTCGGATCGGCGCTGGAGCCCCCTGGCGGCGCTTCTGGCGCCGCCCCTGGCCGCTCCGAGCTTGGAAATGTGTGCCTGGATTTATCCATGACCATCTCCTGTGGGATCGTGGGATCGATATTCGAGGGCGTCGGCAGGCGTCGGATATAAGTTCGGGCCTTTGGGGGACCAGATATGTCCATGTCCACCGCATGCCGAGGTCCCCAGGCGGTGGTCATGGATAAATCCCATTTCTCGCACTAAAAAAGTCCCGACCGCTTCCCGTGGGGTAGTCTTTTGGCCCCGACCCGTTTCTGGTGGCCTCAGGGCCCGACAAGGGCCCCCCCCCCGAGGGCCGAAACAGAGGAAAACCCACCTGAGCGACGCAGAAAATCGCGGTCGATTGTGCTGACATTGGCGCGTGAGCTTCTGCGTAAGGTCGCGCGAAAACGTCTTCGTTTCCAATGAGGCGTACCGCGCTGGGGGCCCGCGTAAGCCGCCGCATACGGTCGCCATGCCATCTCGCGTAAGAACCGTTTGTCCCCACACAGTGCTATAACTTAGGGTTTTTCGTTCAACAGGAGCTGGGCTGGTGTGCCAGTCCGGCGGCCATGTTGCCGCCGTCGCCGTCCCGTCGCCGCCTCAGCGCCGCCCGTGGTCGGGGCCGGTGTGCCGCTCTGGCGGCTATGTAACCGCCGTCACCGCCCCGTCGCCGCCTCGTCGCCGCCCGTCGTCTGGACGGGTGTGGCGAACTGGGCTACGTTGTCGGCGTCGCCGCCCCGACATAGGTTCCCTCTTCTTAACAGGCATTAGGATCTACCACCCTCCACCGGGTTTTACCTGTCCGCCGTGAGGATTTGCAATTTACACACGATCTTGCCCCATCGTTCATTCGAAGTCTGACTTCATATCTTTCAAGCGAAGCTGGGTTCGACCCCCCCTCGTCCTCCTCAAATAGTGCTATGCTCGCACACTCGTTGATCAAAATGCCAAAATGTTTGAGAATCCCTGGCAACAGCGCAGTACAAAGTCCACACGTACGCGTGGTCGCGCGCGTATGCCGAAATTTTTCAAAAACCCAGGTGCCGCAGAGATATCAAGATCGAGGTTCCCGAAGACATATAACAACACATGGTGTTGCAAAGTGATGTTTCAGAGCTATTTTTTGGCCTGCGTTCCTACGAATTCTTAGGAGTATACGTGTTGGCCGCGCGCGCATGCCGAAATCCTTCGACAACCTTCATCACCGGCACGAGGGCACTATCATTGTCATCGACGTGATCAGCATCGGCACCGTCATTGGCCTTGCAGTCGTCATCGTCAGTATCGTCACCAGCATTGCTACTATCATCATCGTGTTTACCGCTGTTGACGTCGCCATGATACCGCACCCTCCCGAGTCACCGATTTGCGCTGAAGTACCCGCGCGTCAGCGTGGCCTTCGAGACGCGCTGGGAAGTGCCCAGCGGTCAGCGCCGCCGCGGCCGCGTCGGTCGCGCCAGAGTGGCTGGCCGCTCTGCGCGCGAGCCTGCGCGTGATAGATAGCTCGGCCGCAGCGATGCGCCAGCCAGCGCCAAGCAGGCATCGCAATCCCCTGTTGCAAACCAAGTTGTGGTTGGGTGGGTGGCGTAATTGCGCGAGTTGTGTAGTTGCCAACTTTAAGTTAAGCAGGGCGAATTGCACCACACAGATTGCACCACATAAATCGCTCAACATCGATAGCACCACGCAGATATGCACCACAACTATTGCACCACAGAGAGTGCACCGCAGATGTTGCAACACAAGTACTGCGAGTCGTTCGTGACAACATAGAAAACATCATAATGGTATAAGGTGTAAGCATATACGCGTACACCTTGCACCACATCTGATGAACCACGTATAATGTTCCACTCATATTGCACATCATATGTTGCACCGCGTAGGGTGCACTACCTATGTTGCACCGCGTAGATAACACAACATCGATTGCACCACCTGTGTTGCACCACATGTTTCTCTGTTGCCAAGCATAGAGGGCTCCAGATATGTTGCACCACACACGCTGCACCACATACACTGCACAACACATGCTGCCCCCGGATTGAGAACATCACCTCGTCGGAGGTCTGGGCCTGGCGCCCGTGGCCTCGCTTGCGCGCCCGCCTGCGGCGGACGGGCGCCGCTGCCCCGGGCCCTCCGCCGTGGCCCGCGGCGCCGCTGCCGCCGTGGCGGCGCGGCTCTTCGTCGGGGGCAGGGCCCGCCGAAAGCCCTCTGCGGCGTGCTCGCCGGCGACCGGGTCGCGGGCCACCGCTCGGGACCTCCTCCTCCTTTTCCTCCTCCTCCTCCTCCTCCTTCTCCTCTTCCTCCTCCTCCTCCTCCTCGATGGGCGGCGGCCGCCTGGGCCCCGTGGCGGCGCCCCGCCGCCACTGCGGGTCGCGGGTCGCCGGCGACCGGGTCAGGGGCCTAAGTAGGGTGGGATAGTCTAGGCCTCCTCGATGGGGTCCGAGCAGATGGGATCGGAGGATCGCGCCGCACCGCCGACGCATCGACGATGCGGCTCGATGTGGAGCCCGTGTTTCTCCGCTTCGACGTCGCCGGTGCATCGCCGACGTCGCACATGCATCGGCGATGCATCGCCGATACATCGGCGATGCATTGGCGATGCGGCGCGATCTTCCGACCACACCTACTCCGAGGGGGGAACGCAGCGGTCCCTCCAGTTGCCCATGTATCGCCGATAGGCGACTGGGACCCAATCGGACACGCTCAGCGGTTCAACCCAGAGAAGGCTGAATCGGACCTCCGCGCGGATTCCTCGGATCGGCGCTGGGCCACCCTGGTGGCGACTCCGGTCCAGTCCCTGGCGCGTTCCGCGCGCCAGAGTGCTGGACCGCGCGCCAAAGAGGGGGGGGGGCCTTGTACCGATCCAGGAAATCCGAGCGGAGCTCCGAAAATTTAAGTTTACGCAGTTCTGCCAAACAGTAAAAGGCACCGATACTTACCGCTACCCCTTCTGTCGTTTCTCATTTTTGGGCCTCCGGGCGGCCTTCGTGGCCATGGCCGGATCCGCCCCGAGACTCTGGTCCGAACGCTCCCCAGAAGAGGTCGGGGCAGCAGCCCCACACATGTTTCCGTCGGCGGCGAGGCGGAGGCGGTCCGCACCAGCGAGTAGCGATTCAGGGCAACCGAATGGCGAATTGGCCAGCATGCAGGGTCAGCTCTAAACATGTGATGTCATGTTTCTCCGATACGCGGTCCCTGGCAGTCCCGACCTTTTCCCGGGGCCAGTTTTTCATCCCGAGTCGTTTGTTGACGGTCTCGAGGCCTGGCGAGGGTGCCTGCAGTACATTTTGATGTTGTTTTTTTGCGTGATGCGACGCGAGCACGTCGCGCTTGTGGTCCCCACAGTCGGAAATTGGAACACACATATATATATATATATATATATTACCAGTGGCGGTTTTTGTATCAATCCCCAGACTTGTTTGAGGGTCGGGGACGACGTCGGGGTGGTGTGGTGTATATTCCTCCCCCGTTTTCCAAGGGAAACAACGAAACATGTATACACCAGGATCCCGTACACACCAGAATCCGCGTTCCTGTGCGAATTTCAGCGCAGGGTCGGAAAAAGCGTCGGTGTATAGAGCTCGTTTCCCTACACAGGACCACGACGCGCTCAGCGATCTGAGAGACGTCAACCTGTCCAAGCGCGAGGCGGACTGGCGGCGGCTCTTCCAGGAGGACGAGTGCGACTGCGAGCGGACCACAGGGGCAACGCCAGCGGGGGGGCCATGCGCTCAGGAGGTGATCCTTCGACCACGGGCCCGCCATCGCCCACTCATCACCGACAGGGGCCCGATGTCCCCACCCCGCCCAGGAACGTTCGTATTGTAGTGGCCTCCGGCCAGTGCCGCCGATCCGGGGCGCTCTTAATCCTCCTACTCCTCCTCTTGCTTCTCCTCCTCCTCCCTCATCCTCTTGTTTCTCTTCCTCCTTCTCGTGCGCTTTTCGCTCCTCCTCTCCCGCTTCGATGTCCTCCTACTTCTCCCTCTTCGTCTCTTCGTCCTTCTGCTCTTCGCGCGCGCCCGGGTCGAGGCTCCCGGGTCCGGCTCCCGGGTCCCGGGTCCCGCGGCCGGCCGGCCCCTGCGCGCCCAGGTCCCGGTCGGCTCCCGCGCGCCCGGGTCCCAAGCTCTTGGCGGTCCCGGCTCCCGGGCCCGGCTCGGGCCCGGCCCCATGGTCCCGGGTCCCGGGGCCGGCCGGCTCCCGTCGTGGGTCTCGGGTCCGCGCCGGTGCCGGGTCCGCGTCGGTCCCGGGTCGCGGGTTGGGGGAGCCGGGGATCCGGCCGGCCCCCGCGCGCTCGGGTCCCGGGTCCCGGGCCGGCCGGCCCCCGCGCGCCCGGGTCCCGGCCGGCTCCCGCGCGCTCGGGTCCCGGGTCCCGGCTCCCGGGGCTGGCCCCCGGGTCCCGGGTCCCGGGTCCCGGGGACGGCCGGTCCCCGCGCGCCCGGGTCCCGGCCGGCCTCCGCGCGCGCGGGTCCCGGGTCGAGGCTCCCGGGTCCGGCCCCCGGGTCCCGGGTCCCGCAGCCGGCCGGCGCCCGCGCGCCCGGGTCCCTGGTCCCGGCTCCCGGGGTCGCAGATCCCGGGGCTGGCCGGCCCTCGCGCGCCCGGGTCCCGGCTCCCGGCTCCCGGACCCGGCCCCCGAGTCCCGGATCCCGAGGTTGGCCCGGACCCCGGCGCGCTCGGGCCCCTGGCTTTAGTTCCCGGGCCCGACCCTTCGCGTCGGGTCGCATTGGTCCGGCTCCCGCGCGCCCGGGTCCCAAGCTCTTGGCGGTCCCGGCTCCCGGGCCCGGCCCGGGCCCGGCCCCATGGTTCCGGGTCCCGGGGCCGGCCGGCTCCCGCGCGCCCGGGTCCCGGCTCCTGGGCCGGCCAGGTCCGGAGTCCCGGCTCCCGGAGCCGGCCGGCCCCCGCGCGCCCGGGTCCCGGCTCCCGGGGCCCGCCCCCCGGTCCCGGGTCCCGGGGCCGGCCGGCGCCTGGGTCCCGGCTCCCGGCTCCCGGGGCCCGGTTCCCGGGTCCCGGGTCCGGGGGCCGGAAAACCGTCAGCTCACGTCAGCCCTCCCCCCCCCCCCCGCTCCCAGGAGCGCGCCCGGGTCCCGGGTCCCGGGTCCAGGGACCGGAAAACCGTCAGCTCGCGTCAGCCCCCCCCCCCCCCCTTCCCAGAAGCGCGCCCGGGTCCCGGGTCCCGGGTCCGGGGACCGGAAAACCGTCAGCTCGCGTCAGCCCCCGCCCCCCCCTCCCAGGAGCGCGCCCGGGTCCCGGGTCCGGGGGCCGGAAAACCGTCAGCTCGCGTCAGCCCCCCCCCCCCCCCCACCCTCCCAGGAGCGCGTCCCGGGTCCCGGGTCCGGGGGCCCGGCCGGGGGCCGGAAAACCGTCAGCTCGCGTCAGCCCCCTCCCCCCCCCCTTCCCAGAAGCGCGCCCCCGGGTCCCGGGTCCGGGGCCGGAAAACCGTCAGCTCGCGTCAGCCCCCCCCCCCCCTCCCAGGAGCCCCCCGGTCCCGGGGGCCGGAAAACCGTCAGCTCGCGTCAGCCCCCCCCCCCCCCTCCCAGCGCGCCCCCCGGGTCCCGGGTCCGGGGGCCGGAAAACCGTCAGCTCGCGTCAGCCCCCCCCCCCCCCTCGCCAGAGCGAAGCTTGAGCGAGCTCAAGCCCACGCTCTCAGGAACTCACACGCCGGATCGGCGGATTTGGTGTCGGTGGCCCACCGTGGAACTATCGGCGATGCATCTCACGGCGGCGAGCGAGGGGGGGAAGTGAGAAGGCGAAGGCCTGCTCAGAAGGTTCGGAAGTTCCCGGGCCTTCTGAGGAGTTTTCTAAGCCCTCCCGGAAGACAGACAAACACTTCTCAGAAGGCGCGAGGGCTTCTGAGAAGTCCCGCCGCCTTTTGAGAAGGCCTTCTCCTTCTCATTCCCCCCCCTCGCTCGCCGCTGAATCTCCGATGGCAAGCCAAAGCTGCCTCTCCTGAGTTGGTCCCCTCCCTGTTCGTTGACCCTCAGGATTGTGGGCACCGTCGTGGACGTCCCTGGCCTGCTCTCGGCCCAGGAGTGCGATGCCCTGGTGGCTGCGGCGGACAGGCGTCGGGGACGAAGAGACAAAGGCATACAACTTTTTGCATCGGCCGCTAGGCAGGGGTCGTCTGCGCTGGCGAAAGGAGCTAAGCTAAACGGGGGTAACCAACGGCAGAAACACATGAACTCTCGGACGCACTGCGCGGTTTTCTTGGATCTGCGCTGGGACCCAGCCTGGCGGCACCTCCAGCGCCGCCCCTGGCGCGCTGCGCGCGTCAGGGAGGGGTTTCTCCGGCGGGGCTAGGCTGGGACAGGGATAGATCGTTGCAGAGCTTTCCGAAACGCTCTCGGAGCGTTCCGGAGCTTTGCAGAGCGTTCCAGAGCGCTCTGGAATGGCCACAATGCCTGGCACATCCTCCAGCATTGCCGGATCTCAGAGATCCCCGATCTATCTCGATCTTGGCCTCGCCATAGGTCCAGCGCCGATCCGAGAAATTCGCGCGGACCTTCGAAAGTTTATGCAGCACCCCGCAATTGCGGATCATTTTGAGCGGGCGGGCGGGTGGGTCGCGATGAGTCGCGGTGTGGGCCGCGGGTGGATCGCGCTTGGCCCGCGGGCGAGGTCGACGACAGCAACAACCATTTTACCCAAATGTTTTCCGAGTCTATACACAGCATGCGTCCATCAAGATAGCTCTCCCTTCTTCGGGGATCTTCTTGCACAGGCGTGTCCGACAGTCTCTTACCCGGATCTCCCGCCCGGGGAGGTCCTGACAAGATCTCTTCGGAGGCGCCTCAAAATCCCCAGCCCGGATGGCACGTCGCCTTCGCAATCGCCCTGCCCATGCCTTGCTTTTGGGTGCCACCACGCTTGAGTGGCTCAAGCCTTTTGGGGGAGACTCCACAACCTCTTGGACAGCCCCTGGAGCGCCTTGGACAGCCTCTGGAGCCCCTTGGAGAGCCCCCAGAGCTGAGAGAAGCTTCGAACCCCCTGTGGGAAACGTGGGGGCCCCTGGGAGACGCGTCTAAGCTAAGGCGGCAGGTTTCGGGGCCTTTTGACGGAGGCCACAGGGCATTGTTGGGAAAGGCCTGGATCGGAAGAGCTTTTGGGCCTCGCGGATAGGAGGAAGAAGAGGAGGGAACAGAGGAGGAGAGATGGAAGGATGACGAGGAGGGGAGGAGGAGGAGGAGGAGGAGGAGGAGGAGGAGGAGGATCAGGAGGAGGAGGATCAGGAGGAGGAGGATCAGGAGGAGGAGGACGAGGACGAGGACGAGGACGCGAAGGAGGACGCGAAGGAGGAGGAGGAGGAGAAGGAGGAGGAGAAGGAGGAGGAGGAGGAGGAGAAAGAGGAGGAGGAGGAGGAGGATGAGGTCGACGACGACGGCAAAGACGACGGGGTCGCCGCGGTGGGTCCCAGGGCCGCCCCTGGCACGCGGAACGCGCCAGGGAGTCGCCAGTACAGATTTTGACAGTGTATGCTGCACTGTTGGGGATCGGCACTGGGGACTAGGGAAGTTCCAGCGCCCCTGGGAGTGTTGAGTAAAGGCGGAGGAAGTATCGAGCGGGAGCGTCGTTGTTTGTAGGGGGTGCCGTCTGCGGCGCCGAGGCGGGAGCGCTGGTCCTAGTGACAAACAAGGATCGGAGGATAGGATCTCTTGGGTCTCTTTCGCAATTTGTTCAAACACTGCGCCTTCGACTACCAGGGATCACGCTCTCGCTTTGGCTGCTCTAGAGATGTACTTCTGAATCGCGCTTTCGCTTGAGACTTCCTCGCGAGTCATGCAGGACTCACGCTTCAGTAGCCCGCCAGCTCGACCTGGCCGCCTGGGCACGCCTTCCCGACCCGCCCGTCAGGGTCTGCCCGCCCGATCTGCCCGTCTGGTTTTGCCACGCGTTTTCCTTTCCTAGCTCCCTTTCCCAGCAATCTCCCTCGTGTTCCATTCTTGTCCCTCCGCCTTCCATCCGTCCTTTCGTACCCTGTTCTAGGGGCTGCATTTTTTGTCTACGACAAACCCTCACAACAGTTCGACATGACAGAGCAAACTGATATGTACGCACCTGCGCGGGACATCTCCTGCCTGCCCGGCCGGCCAACCGAGGAATTGGCCCTGTGCTGAAACTTCCTTTGAACATTCTGGACAGTACGACTACTCACGCGATCGAAGGGCAACCAATTGAAATCGCGTATCATGCCAAACGTGGAGCGCCGTAGGATGGCCGGGTGACGTGGTTGAACAGGATCAAACAATGCTATAGCTTCCGCGCAGCCAGAAGATTGCATATTGCCAACAGCTGGGCGGAACAACGCCGAAAGAGAGGAGGGGAGCAAGGCCTGCAGCAATTTTGAATAGTAATCCCAGTACAACGAAATACCGACGCATGCGTCACGGAGCAAGGTTATGTTCTCGCAGAGCTCTGTCTCTGCCGATAAACCAACCTCGTCCAAACATCAAGACTACAACTCGTCGAACTGCTTCAGGATGTTCTGTTTGGGCGTGATAGGGGTGGGGCCTTCGAGTTAACACAGGACGTGGCATTCGTTTAATATGGCCATCTCTTTGACGCTAAAGGAGCGCCTTGTCTGGAGGAGCGCTCTGAGGCGCCAGTCGGCCTTTGTGGCAAAGTGTTGCACCGCTAAATAAATGTCCAGACGTGGGTCCAAGATGTCATTAAGTATTTCGGATAATCCGCCGAACGGGCACATTTGTAGGATATACATGCGTTCTTTAGACGGCTCGAACAGCACCTGAGTTGCAGACCTCTAAGTATGCACTGCTGACTGGCGCGCGCGAGCTTGTTCGAGTACCGTGCTGTCCATGGGCATGCGCGTGGCAGGCAAGGAAGATATACCTCCAAGGTGGTACGATCGAAAACGAAGAAGGTGGGTACCGAACGTGTTGAGTGGCACGCGAGCGTGTAGGAGTGAACAGTCTTGAAATTTTTGTTCTTGTTGAATTTTCATGTCTAAAGAAGAAGTGCTGTTGACCATTGTACTCTTTCAATTGAAGTGCCCCCCTCGGGGCTGGCACCTTGTTTTTGATTAGGGACAGTTTGGTGTCACCAAGCTTGATTGTTGGGCCCCGAACTACGACAAGAACGGTTCCCGCCTGATACTTCCTCACAATGCATTCCAAAGTCGCGCTCTCGCGCGGGACTTCTTCACACTGTATGCAGGAATCGCGCTCTCGCGCGGGAGTTGTTTCGCAATTTATTCAGACGCCGCCCCTTTGACACCCAAGAACCACACTCTCGCTCTGGCCTTTCTTTTGATTTAATGTGAAATCGCGCTATCGTCCGAGCTCTCGTCGCAACCCATGCAGTACTCACGTTTCAGCAACACACCTTCTCGACCTGGCCAGTTGGGCCCGCCTTCCCGACCCGCTCGTTAGGGCCTGTCTATCCGCCCGATGGGTCCGTCTGGTTCTGCCACGTGCTTTCTGTTCCTAGTCCCCCCTGCTAATCCCGTGCTTCATCCATGTTCTCCCCTTTCCATCCGTCTTCTCTTCCACTGTGTCACGCGCTGCGGTAAATGCGCGTGGCAGATAAGGAAGATCTACCCCAAGGGGGTACGATCGAAGACGAAGAGGGCGGGTACTCAGGGTTTGGAATATACGTGTTTAGTGGCGCGCGTGCAGGCAAGAGCGAACAGTCTTAACATAAGTGTGATTGTTGAACATTATTTATTCTAAAGAATAATTATTGTTGGGCCCCCTGGTGCGCGCCCCCCCTGCGCCGCCTAGGCCGCAGCTACATTTTCATCATTTTCGTGAGGAAGCCTCAGAAAAGAGGGTGTGTACAGGATCCGGTTGTTTTGTTGTAATCCGCTTTCCCTTGCAAAAAACAATAGAAAATGACATTTCTTGTTCTAATATAATCAAATTTCAAGAATCCCTTGCAAAAAATAAGGTAAAGTGGACATTCGCGCGCGCAAGACGAAATCCTTCCAAAACCTTAGTGTTCGCAGCGATTTTAACATAAAAACATCAAAAAACCAATGGTTTTTCAACAAAAAAATGTCAAAATCTCATCCCGCGCGCTCTTGCGGATTCGTAGGAAACCCAACACTTTTTAAACATTTCTGTCAAACGGGCTTTTGCGAGCAACTTTTTCGAACTTCTGCGACAACGGTTGCGCACCTGCCAGGGCCATCATCCCTGTCAAATAATACCATGCGGGACACATTCGTTTTTTCTTCGCGCGCGCACGCCGTCGTCGTCGGCCGCGGGGCCCTGAATAGTAGCCACGGTCGTCCGCATGCCACGAAGTGAAGTGTCCGAACGTCATAGGGCGGGAAGCTGGGTGTGGGTGGTGGCGAAGAGTCGTTTGGAAATTTGGTAGAGCTTGAACCGGCCCCCCCACAAAGTGGGGGTATTGCCCGCCTCCTATGAAAACCCTGGCACTGGTGAGAACGGAGTGTCCCCACGTGCTAGTAATTGATGTTGTTGTTGTTGGTGCTGTTGTTGGTGGTGCTGCTGCTGTTGTTGTTGGTGTTGTTGTTGCACAAGGCGGGCTTGAAGGTCGTTCACCCCCCCCGAGCAACCAGCAAACCAGCAACCTCCCACTCCCGAGCGGCCTTCGTCCCCCCCTTGGGGGTGGGCTACGCCCCGTCCAGGGGGGGAGTGTTTCCAACCCTATATGGATCCAACCGGAGCCGAGGCCAGCCCGACCGGGCTGTATGGGATCTGTGTGGGACCCCATACAGGGCGCATTGGATCAGCGACAGGGGTTTCCAAGTTTCCCTAGGACCCCGTAGGGATCTCCAAGAATTTTCGAAAGATTCGTCGGATTCCCTTTGCATTCTCAGGATTCACTGACTCCCTAGGGACTGCCAGGATTCCTGTGAATTCTTCGGATTCCTTAAGGATTGCCATGATTCCCTAAGGATTGCCAGGTTTCCTTGATTCCTGGGACTGCTAGGATTGTTTCGGTGGAGCGCCCATTGAGGCCAGGATCATCGTGAGGGGTGTGCCGACATGGGCGTTGCCGCTGGGCTCCCACTGGGGCCACGATCCTCGTGATAGGGGTGTGCCGAATTGGGCTCTTCCCGCTGGGGCCATGATCCTAG